TTTTCCCGGCTATAACCTATCCCCGCCCCGGGGCTGTACTTTCTTAGGCGGCCTTGTCGGCACCTTTCCCCTGAGCTCATCTCATGAGTTCAGTTATGTAATTGTCTGTCCTTTATTACGACTAGAAGTGTAACAACTAAAAAAAAAAAGATTGATTATTAGGTATTCTACTTATAGTTTAGAAAACTATTTAATTTCGTCACCGCAGTTCTTCATCCGATGCTGCCGAGCAAATGCTATTATTTTTCTTAAGTGAACACCAGTACTGTGAAGCCGGATATTTGTTTGCTACTTGTTGACTATTTACGAGATGTACTGAGTATAAACGAACCAAGAAAACGCTTATGTAGGTCGCTCAGGCCATCCATCCTCCCTAAAGTTCGCATAAACTGGTCAACTCTACTCAGGGTTGCTTTCGGTAATCGTCGCGGCAAAGTTCAAAGTGTGGTAGTATGCTTTTGCTTGAAATCGAAAGTTCTCAGTGTGAGAAAGAAAGGTGCAGAGACGCTCCATATCTATAGCAGCTGCTATGGGATTTTTCGCGAACGCAATACGACGCCGGAAATTATTAAGGCCGTGTTCGCAGCCTCGCCGTCTGCAACGCTTTCGAACTAGTAGTTTAGAGATTTCAGTACGGGCGGTCACATTAGCTGTTGGAAGTGTTTCTCAAAAGACACACTTCACGGGAAAAACAGGCATATTTTAAACGCGGTTGTGTGATTCTCTTCCGCTATGATTCGTATGCGACGGGCGTTCACATTTTTGGTAATATTGGCAACCACAAAAAAGAATATAGTCAATATATGCGTTTTGGGACAAGCAGATATTCCTCTAGTCTCGGTATACGGTCAAGAGCTTTCTCTCACAGCGTCGAATGACTTGCACATGCCACAATAGTGGCACATGATGAGGGATCCTTACCGGTGGGTTCTGTAACTGCTAACCCCGCCCATACAAAAGCAACAACAAAAACAAGAAAGAAAGCTCAGAAAAAACGATTTGCAACGGAAATGTTGCAGCTGTGTCAAGTCAGCCCTGACGACTTGTTTGATTGCCTGATCACCACGGATAAGTGTTAAGACCCCAAGGAGCAACAACAAAGCACACAGGCGAAACACGCGGATTCAACACGGACAACTGAAGTCGAGTCGAAGAACATGTAGAAGCGACATGCACGAAAGTCTTTTTGGTTTGAATATCATTTATTCGCCTGTCAAGTTGAAGGAAATGTTAGGCGCCTCAAATGATCGTTATACCATGGCCGTTTCAGTTAATTCGACTCGGGTTAAAAGGCTTTTTTTCCTGGTATTCACACTAAGAAATTTGAATCTTTTTTGAGTTCCTGCGTGTTCATACCACCCTTGAAGCAACGTCGAAAATTTGCTTCTTCAAACTTATCCACGAAATGCCTCTGGGCTTCGTCAATAATACAGTGTGAATCCCTTAGGGTTCAGTGTGTTTAGGTTTTTGAGCCGGAGTGGGGCCAAGGTGAAACCGCTATCGGGTGTCTGAAGAAACTTTTGGCAGCCGCTGCCATTAACAGGGGGATATTTGCGAATGACGAGGCTGCTTGTATGTTTAGACCTAAAAAAAGAAAACTATATGGTGTGACACGGATTACGGTAAAACGCTGCACTCAGTGTCACAGCGCGGGCTGTCTCTAAGCCTAAACATTTCTTTATTTCATTTTTCAAGATACCTTAAAGGCCCTCCTAGGCAGGGTGTGACACGGGCGGAAGGACTACGTGAAACACGAAAAAAACATATTAAATAACCAAGGCGTAAAATATTAGTAAAGCAAAATACATAAAAACAAGGTAAAACAATGAATAGGATACATGTTAGTAAAATACACATGCGGGTGGAATAAATATGTACATATAATCAGCCTCCTCATCGGCTGACCTCCCTTTGTAAACTGCAGCGATTGGCTCTCCGAAGTGTGTTGCGGGAAAGCAGACACTTCAAAGTTCCCAAAAGAAAAATAAAAAAAAACAACCATGCAGGGCAATTTTTAAGCTCTGATCCTCCGTTATGTGCTTCGAGTCCAGCCTATGCAGAGTGCAAGTTATTCTGCTTTTTGCACATGGGCTGCCATGATGTCAGAACGCTAAGCTCTTATTGGCTGATTGAAAAAAAATAGTGGGTAGACCTCAAGGCATCTAGCATTGATGTCTACCCGCTATCCCTCCATCAGAGCCAATCAAAGCTCGGCCACGCTCTGACGTCACCGGAACCTCTGCGTAAGATGCAAACGACTTGCTCTTTGCAAAAGAAACACCTACCTCATCTAAAAAGAAAAAGCCTTCAATTGAAAATTTTATTTTGTTATTTTTTTTATATAAATTTCATGCATGACACGAGGACGTTCAAACCTGGGGGTTCTCGAACTCCGTTCACTCTTTTATGTCATAACCACGGACACAACTAGTGGTATTGATATAGGTGGAGCATTGAAGCAGTCGTGCCACGCAGGCTTCCAGCACATACTCATCATTCGGGCATGCGTCTTCGCTCGCGAAGTGCAGTTGCACTACAGCTTCACTCCTCTACTCACTGAAGGTGCAACAACGTATACAATCGCGAATCTGTTGTCGGGATGTAAATAGGCCACATTGTCAATGTTTCGATACTCTCAGTTAGGGTGTTCTGAAAATCGACCGGGAGTTCAGCACGTAGAGTTCGAAGCCGAACTGATTGTATTACAATAGTGGAGACCTATAACGCAGCTTCCTTCTTCACTGTAGGAGGTTTGATATTAACAGCAGCAGGATGGTGGCATCTGTGTGTTTTGATCTTTGCAAAGTCTCTACGTCAAGGCCACGGGCGGACCTCTGTAATTGTTCGGTTCAGCACCGATATTATGGTAGAACTAGAGTGCACTATAAGTGGATTCCGAAACAAGGCACTCCTGCTTCAACCTTTACTCCTCTACGCACTGAAGGCACCGCTACGTATACGTGATCGCAAAGACCTGGTCGGTGAGTAAATTACTCCAGTATTTTGTGAATATTGTCACGAAAAAGGAAACAGAAGATAACAATAGAGCGTCGTGGGCGTCGATAACAGCGTAAGAGCAGGTTCGAGCGCTTGGGCGTGACTGACTTTGGCTCGCCACGCGAAGCACCTTTTGTACCCGCGTGTGTCTCTGGAACATTCAGCCTGGAACATTCGGTGCGTAGACATTCGGAACTCGATCAGAGGAGAATGTTCTCGAACCTACGAGAACGTCGAGTTGAAAGAATAAATAAAAGGGCAGTTCGCTGACTGGAACCGAACCTACACCTTCCGCGCGCCAGTCAAGCGCGATAACCACTCGATACCCTCGCACGCGCTCGCTCGTCGACGCCAGAGCCGTATATGTAGAGAGTTTGGCCATTCGTTCGGAAGTATAGGAGACAAATGAGGAGGCGCCATTGGCCGAAAGCGGACTGGGCGTGTTCCAGGGCGTCTTCAGAAATTCGAATGTGACCAACCACAAGCCGGAAATAATACCCTGGCGGTGGTCGCAAGAAACAAACCTGATAAGTGCATCGGAGTAACTCTCGGTGACTGAAAATATGGTACACGTGATGTTTCAATCATGCTCATCCAAAATGATGGTGGAAGAGTGCGACTAGCGGAACGATCGACATAATCCTTACGCCAAGTGCCGAAGGCCGGGAGTCTGCCGTCCGAGCGGTCACACTCTGTCCGAGCAAAACAGAGTTGAGCGGCACATTCGTTTCTTACAACCTTCTGCGTGACAATGTTCGAAACATCACGTGCACCCTATTTTCAAACCCAAAGAGTTACTACACTTCACTCTTACGCACTTATTAAAACCATATACGAACATATGCCTTTGATCAGAACTGTTTCTCGCTACCACCGCTAGGGGATTCTTTTCGGCTTCTGGTTGGTCAAGAGAGCATGCCAAGCCCTCTTTCCGAGTCTAATGCACGCCCCGACTCTGCCCGCGCCTCCCATTGACCAAACTATCTTTATAGACGGCTCTGGTCGACGCGCGTGGCAATATCATTGATCATTAGATATTGATAATTGTACAAGCACCATTTGAATGCCTGTGGCATTCAAATGGTGCTCGTAGGTTGCGTGAGATTCAAAAGCTTGGAATATGTGTAGAAAATATTCGACTATACTTATATTGCCATGCTCGTCGCTAAGCGAGCGCGTACGTGGCCGAATGGTTAGCGTGCTTGGCTGTCGCGCAGAGGATCTGGGTTCGATTGCAGCGAGCGAATTCTTCTTTTATTTATCCTTTCTACTTGGTGAGTTACGAATGTTCTACGCGCCGAACCTTCTAGGCCGAATGTTCCAGAAACCCACGCGGCTACAAAAGGTGCTCCGCGTGGCAAGCAGGGAGTCATCTCGCCACAGCGCTCGATCCTGCTGTCTCGCCGACTTCGACGCCTGCGATGCTAACCTTTATCTATTTTGTTTTGGGTACAAGCTAGCCACATTAAACGTCTAGTTTGCTTCATTTTTTATTGCCTCATTAATCGTCATTCTTTACAATATTACTCCCCTTTTCGCGAAAATGATAGGGCAATATATTGAGTATGTGCTTAAAACTTTAAAGGGCATATCAACTGCCGTCATTTATATGTACAGAGCGCGACACTAATAGCGCGAACAAGCGATCGCCGATTTTTGCAGTTTTTCTCTTTGAAACCAAGGGATGCCATCCAAGTTTTTATTGCTACGGTAAGAGCTAATTTAGTTCTATAATGTAAGCGATAACATTTTGTGCTCGCTAGTACTATTTAGAAGTAAAATGCGAAAAAGCGCCGATGTCGTGTTCGCCCAAACAGTGTCGCGATGTGTACCCTATATGGGAAAATTGTTTGTCGCGTAGTTTTTGTTTAAAAGTATCGATGACCTTTCAGATTTTTAACTGAAAAAGAGAAGGGGCATTTGCAGCTCAGTCTGTCTAAAAAGAGATCTTTCTGGATTGCCAGTTTTAGTTCGAATTGAAAGCTGAAGTGGGAACCTCAAAGATGTCAATCGTCTTTTCGATGTTACCGTTCTTCATAAGCCAGGTAAGCCACTTCACAGGGTTAGACAATATTACACGTGTCATGCATAAGTGGTCTGGACAATAAATACTATTATGGGAAAACGTTTTACGGTCAACTCATTTTTATGTCAAATTTTTATGTCAAATTCGCGTCAAATTAATTTTTTAACACGCGTGTCCCACGCGTGTTAAAAAATTAATTTGACGCGAAAAAAAAAAAAGAAAAAAAGAGCAATATTGACGGCGCGAGACGTGATTTAGCCGGCAGTCAATTCCTTCCCACTTGTTTTCTCTCTCGGCATTTCGAGCGCGTGGAGGAGAGGTGGATCGGCTTCGCCTTCACGTTGAGGTGGAAAAAGCGAAGGAACATCTCGTTGAGGTCGAACAAGCGATTGATCATAACGTGACGTCATGCACTTTGCCCGATGAATTTCAAATAAATCTTTCGCCGTTAATATTGCGGTAAATTATTTTTCTCGTAAAAATTACTTTTTTGACACGCGTGTCCCTAATAGATTGTTATTTTTTTTCTTTTTAGGGGCATTTTAAAGGGATGCTGAACCGAAATCCGGGTTCCACAAAACACGCGGCAAAAGCTTGCAACTGGGTCCTACAAACACTAAAACATCACTTATCGAGCGATATCTCGAACGGATGACCGTATTTTTCAGAAAAAGGAGGCGCATTTGACCGATATGTTTACGTCACGTTTTTCTGAGAAGGAGAGGGAACGGCCTCGCGTCTTCTCCGCTTCTCCTTGAGGGGGCGAGCGAAGAGAGGAGGAAACAACGTAACTTGACGTAACGCGCCCCGTCGGCCTGGTTCAATCTCGACCTCTTTTTCCAAAAATACGGCCGTCCATTCGAGATATCGCTTTGCGAGTGGTGTTGTAGGGATTGTAGCGTCCCGCCTACATCTCCTGCATTGTTTTTTTTTTAATCAAAATTTTGGTTTACTACTCCTTTAATGCAAATCTGAATATTTTCCATCTCTCCACGAGAAGAGCCCTGCCAATTTTCTTCAACTTTGTAGTGTTTTTGTGTCTGTAATTTAAAAAAAAAAAAAAAAACGAAACGAATGGCTTTGTTTTGGACAGATTCTAGACTCTTTATTAGATGAGACTGATGAGGGTCCCATATTACTGACGCGTATCCTAGCTGAGGGAGCACCAAGGTCGATGTAGGCTACGTGTTTCGTGTACCTATTGGCCATGTGCAGGGTTTTCTTATAAAGCCGAGGTTTTAGTTTAACTTTGTGGTTATATGATTGTTCTTAGACATCATTGTTCTTTTTGCTCCGCTTTCTAGATTCTATGTGTGAAGGGTAAGTGTGTCCAGACATCTTGCCGCATAAAATCATAACAGGCGACCGGAAGTAAGTTGTTGCTTATAGAAAAGAGTGAGTGCGTCTGAATACAGACGCGAGGTTGTAAGTGAGCAAGATTAGATACGCGTATTAAGGAAGCAAAATAAAACGAGAAAAGAACAAACATCTGAAAAATGCCACTGAACGTGTGGCTGCTCTTTTTGAATAGGTCTTTGTCAAACTTAGATTAATCGCTGGAACGTGCGTAGCAGAATTAAACACTCTCACATCTAACACGCTGCTACCACCTATTCTAACGACTGGCTACAAAAGTTTTCTCAAATAATTAATTGAAATATTTCAAATGCCTTCTTATTTTAATATTTTCAAACCTAAAGTTGCTGGAAACTTATAAAATCCACTTAGAACAATCAAATATAAAAAGAAATTAAATAAAAAAGAATAATTACTAAAAGTGTTGCGAAAGCTCAAAAACAAATCTTTCGGGTTTACTTTCGATGCTGCTTAATGGCAGTGATAAACTGCAATTTTTTTTATCACTGCTTAGCGGTAGTGATAAAATAATCGCTTATTTGATTCTAGTATCAATCTTGGCTCAACTAATTGGCTGCTCGAGAAAATATTAGTTTCAGTATTCTTACACAGTACGTTAGGTTTTCTTTAATATTTGAAAATATCAGGCTTTGGGAACATCTCAAAACAATACACGCGAGCACCGTAGCCAGTGACGGCTTAACAAATCTTGGGCCTGTTGTGTCCCATGCATCTCATTATCTCTCCGCAGCCAATCAGATTCATTGCCGCATTAGCCGATAAGAACGCAGGAGAACCAATCACAATGCAAGACGCATCAACGTAATAAACGTCACTCTGAGCTTTTTTATGCTGTCAAAAGCTATGCGAAGAGCAAGTCGTCTGCTTCTTGCACAGGATTGGCGGTGACGTCAGAACAACGCCGAGCTCTTATTGGCTGATTGAAAAAAAAAAAAAAATGGTGGGTAGACCTCAAGGCATCGAGCAATGAGGTCTACCCCCTATTTGTTTTCAATCAGCCAATGAGAGCTCAACGTCGTTTTGACGTCACCGCCAATCCTGAGCAAGAAGCAGACGACTTGCTGTCCGTATAGTGTTTTCCTTTCATGCAGGTTATGGACATTCACATTTTCCCACGGGAACGAAGGATGAGCCCATCCGGGGTAAGTGTCATTTCTTGGAGTTTACGGAACCGTCTTTCTGCTACCATGCCAGTGAAAACTCGCTCAATCCGACTCCGGTAATAAATAAGAATAAGTGTATACGTTTTACCTGGTAGTGTATCTACAGGTTTCCAAGGTTATGCTTTTCCAGTCGTCTTATTTACAATCAGCTAAAAGTTCATAACTCATCTAAAGGCCAAAGCTGTTTCGAAGGTTCTCCATAGCTTGTTATTAAAAACAGCAAGTAAAGATCATGCTTCTCTTCAAGTGCCTAATGATTCAAAGAATCATCAGGCATGTTCCGAAGCAAACGATAAGCATTTCCCGACTAGATACTGAGAGCTAAAAGGGATATGCTGTACCGAAATTTGGATTTCGCAAAACAAGGCCGCAAGAGGTTTGAAAAGGGACGCTACAAACGCCAGAAGATCTCTCATACATCGATATATCAAACGGGTGGCCGTGTTTTTGGAAAAAAAAAAGGGCGCGATCCAGCGAGGACTATGTCGTAACGATCCTCCTGGAAGAAATAAGAAAGAAGGAAGCGAAGAGGAAATGGAATTAGAATCGTGACGAGGCAGTAACCCCGGAAGGGTATTTTACGTGTATGTGTGTGTAGGGGGGGCTGGGCGGTTGAAATAAAAGAAAAAAGGGGGAATGAAAAAATTAATATAAAAAAAAAACATTACTAAGATTTTACTGTTTGTAGAAGGTTTATTACCACTACCTATTGTGTGTCCATAGATTCATCCAAAATTCCTGTCACGAAGCAATGAGATGTTGACATAATCTGATCGAATATAGTAGTAGCTACGAGGCGGCATCGATCTACGGTGTCGATGTAAAATGCTCTCGAAAATCGGGCGCCTACGCGTAGAAAGCTGACATTTTCAACGAAGGTGTATTTTAATTGTGAATGCATTCCTCTGAAATTTCTTGGCGCAGCTTTGTTCCTCGGGAAAGTTATAACAATGCATTCTCGAAAATTTCAAACAACTTCACCACCGGTGACGCGGTCGTCCTTCGGTGGTAAACCTTCACTGGCGATGTCCTTTCTTATTTCAGCATGTTTCCTGGTATTATGGTCGTCTTAGAAAAGAAGGTAAAACCGTCTGGGTGTATGATAGGGTGCCTGCCTGAACATAGCAAGCTGACTCGCCAAAAACGAAATATGGTATTTTAAAAGCGAGACACAGAAATAGAGGCGAGAATGCCGCGATTGTTTGATGTCTCCGACGACCGCCATGATAGCGGTGCTTCAACACAGACCGCAGTGCGATCTCTCGCTTGACAAACTGTGTCGCCTGCTAAGGCCTACTCTAGCCTTGGGAGTTGGGATACTTTATTCTCTTCACTTGCTGCATCTGTAGGCAGTCCCTCGTTCAAGATAGGCCTTCGTCTCGCGCGGACCATCTCCCCACCTTGCGTTTCGGCGCTCCCCACGGAAGCAATTACACGACCCTTGTGGTTGCCTCAGACCGCCAAAACAAAAACAAAAGCAACTTGAAACGCGTAGATCCAAGAACAAGAATAAAGCTTGAAGAAATCCTTGAGGTCTTTCGGAAACGTCACTGCTCAAAATGGAAGCAAAATGAAGAAGCCGACTGGCTGGGTGGACAAAAACAGCTTGCTGCGCGTTCCCCCGCACGGCCAACCCGCTAGTGCAGTATAGGAGGGCCCCAGGAAAACGACCAAGCAGTGGAAGAGAGATCTCCCTGACTGTGCTACGCAGGCCTCAGGCGCCGGCTTTTTTTTCCTCCCCATTTTTTTGGTGGTGCCGCGTCGTCCGCGGTTTACTGACACTAATCGCTTTACTTCATATATTTTTTTGAATTTCGTCTGCGAAGGTTGTGCCGTGATTTGGTGGGTAAACAACCGTAACAAAAACATAGCTACGTGCTTCCCCTTAGCCAAATACGTGACTAAGGGCCAGTCACGTGCCAACGGGAGCACAAAGGGGAGGCGGAGGGTGGGGGGGGGGGGGGGGGGGGGAGAATGCAAGCATTCTTCAGTAGGCGATGAGCCAAACGCACGGGGCTCAGAATACTGCCCAGCACCCCCTGGAAAATGCCAGCGAATGCTCAAGCCTCCGTTGCCACCCCCCCCCCCCCCCCCCCCCCCCCCCCCCCCCTTCGGTTCCGGGGTCGCTGCGTGGCATATGTCTCGTCGGCCTCGTCGGCCCTGTTCAATCGCGCACTTTTCTAAAGTACGGCCAAACGTTAGAGATATCGCTGCATTATGAGCTCCAAATTTCGGTTCAGCATACCTTTAAGAACCGCATTGCTTCGCGAGTCACAACCATGTTATTATCGTCCCACGGCGAATCAGCTTGCAACATCAACCGATAAGAACATCAAGTGACAAATCACGAAGCAACGAGCGTGTTTATAATATGTCACGCATTCCGTTTCCTAATCTGTTAGTGTCACGATACAATTATTGTGCATGTTTCGTTGTGTACATTTTTATGATGTGAGTTTAATTTTTAATTCAAATCACAAATTTTTATTTCAGGAAAGGAACTGCAGTTTAATCTAGATGATGTGGCGTTGGACTTTTTGTACAAGCATGCCGAGAAAATAGGAGCCAACGTATGGGATTTGGATGTAATGGGAGCGAACTCCGCGCGTCCGGAAAAGAATAAGTAGTATGCACCTGCCATTAATTCATTGCTTGTACAGTCGTTGCCAGCCTAAGAAACCCAAAACCTGGCGAGTGTTGTGCGCCTTCTTATCGTGTCGCAGCCAACGAGATTGCAGAATTTGCCGATAAGAACGCCGAAGAGCGATCCACGAAGCAAGGAGCGTATAGACCATGCCCTGTGTTTCTTCAGCGTTCAGTGAACATAGAAGCGTTACTATTTTATTTCTCGTTTATAAAACTAATAGTATGTTAGTTGAAACTCAGGTCTTACATTTACTTGTTGTTCCAAGTTGTTTTTAGGCCTGACAGCTCCACAACCAGTATACGCATTGGTTTTGAGTCAGTGGCCAAGTTGCAGGGATCTCTGTCTCCAGAAACGAACGGGTTATTCAGCGAATCAAATGAGAGACCCGTCAAAGCTGAGGTTTCCAGCGCTGAGACAGAGATAGCGATGGTGAATTCCGCTCGCAGATCTCGAGCGCTCCAAAAGCGCTCCATTTGGAGCGAGCATATTCCGCTCGCAGATCTGGCTCGACCTGGCCATCTTCCCCTCGTAGATCTGTGGCAACGCCCGCTCCACGGAGCGCCTCAAACCAACACCTCCTAGAAGACAAGGCCGTAGCGCTCTACTCGTGACGTCGCGAGGGAAGGCCATCGGGGGCGCGCGGCGAAGCGAAGGCAACGCGCGTGGATCGATCGTCGTAACGTGCTTTTAGTCACATACGCGTGCCCTATTAGCTAAATTGAAAGCTGCACATAGCAACGGGTCTCGAAAACATTTCATTACACCGGCAAAATATTACACCGCTAAGTGATCGGTATGAAATGGTACGAGGAAGGCGTATAAGAGAAAACATTGATTCACGCAATTATTGCTGCAGGATTGCATATTTTACACAGAAATACTTCGACAAAATGGCAAGACACGCAGTGATTGGACAGAGCAAAAAAAGGTCACATTGAAAAATCAGGTAGACGTAGTCAACGCAGACACGGCTAGAGGAATGTCACTTACGATCATGTAAGCGATATTATCGCGCGCAGTCACTGAATTCTTTCATCATACCCCGGCCACATGGCAAAAGTAATGTAATTTCGATCGAATGAAAATATGGGGTCGACAAATCAGCTTGCGACGCTCATATAATCACTCAAAACAGCGAGCTGATTAAATCCCGTATTATTTAATCAAGATATATTAACTTTTCCGTGTGTAAGGGTACTAAACTTACTATTTCCAGTCAACTAATTTACTTCTCCCTATGGGCTTGAGGTGCCTAAGAACAAAATATAACCTATTGTGTATACAATAATACTATTACCTTAATACAGTTAAGATTCTAGTATAAACGCGGTAAAGGCAACAAAATAACTTTAGTATAAATAAACACATAAGCACAAACAACGCACTTTCAATAATCACACAAACTTGTTATTCACCTTCCAGTAAAAACTAGAATATTACCACGCATAATTATAAATGTCGACGCAATAGCAAACGGATAATGACGAAGAGCACAACTCCATTCTATCACGATCTTAAAAAAAAAAAAAAATCGACTGCAGCACTTTACTTGCGTCTTACATGACCAAGAAAGCCCGTAAATAAGTTGTTCCTCACCTGTCGATCGTATCCATACGTCCCACACGATCCATTACAAAAAAATTTTAACACGAACTTTAAGAAGTCTCTCTGTCGAAAGAGGTCATCGGCCAGTGTCATCGTTGACTAGTTGCCACACACGTCACTCAAACCGTAGCAGTACTTGTTTTGCGAATCCACGTAAATGCCGTAGTATCAAGCGAACACACACACACACAAAAAATCTACCCGAGACTACGGTGACGACAAAAAAAAAAAAAAAAAAACGATGGGTAGGACAAAACCACACACACACACACGCGCGAGAGCAGCAGCAGCAGTGTGGGTTAACATGGTCGACCCATCTCTTCCTCGTGTGCGCTCCCTCCCAGCGGCGATGAATGGATTTTTTTCGGTTCCTTTTCCTTCTGAAATGTTTCAGCGTACCTTTGCATGCAGTCAGCAGCTCACACGCAACGTGAATTTACCAGAATCAGCCCGTACGAGGGAAGATGTCGCATCGGAAATTCGGAGCCGGTTCATTCGAAAAGTGTGGGGAGCTGCGGGACTGCGCGTAGTCCCGCGGTTACGGGGATAATCATAAATATAAATTTGGTACTTTCAACCTTGGTAACGCGTTGTATATTACGTTTTTATTATATATATAATAAATTGTACAAGACTGCGCTTTTAAAACGTGTATTAATGTCGGATAATCGCGCACGAACATTAATGCGCCGATACGCGTCGACAGCGCATTTCCTCACGTAGTTGCGCCATGGCCTTCCTTCCTCCGCCATTGTGACGTGCCTGCTCGGAGTGCTACGGCCTTCTCTTCTACAAGGTGTTGCTCAAACCCCGCCGAACTTGCTCTGCGGGATTTCACAGATTTTTCCAGAAGTTGACAGAGCGCCTACGTCATTTCCCCCTAAATCCACAGTGTGCATGCGCGGCGAGGTCGGCGCCGCGGCGGGCCGGTCGGGCCACGGTCGGATCGTCAAGTTGGATCTGTTCGTGTGCTTCGGTTGTTTACGTGGGATTGTGACGGCTCGAGCGCTTTTACCTCGCGTAGATCAGGGATAAAAAGCCAGGACTGTAAAGCGTGGTAAGTCGGTACGCGCTGACATCTGTGATCGTGAGAGGAAGAACGAGAAAAAGAACGACAGAAAAGCCGGAGGCAGACGCAAGGTTAGGCCTGTTCATTCTGCAGCCAATGATTGTTTACATTTTTACACTGCATATTTCCGGCGTTTTCCCGCGCAATAAAGCAAGAAGAGATTAGGCAACAACCGTGCAAGTTATGCTTTGTTGCCTCTGTGTTTATTAAAGTCGTACCAGAAATGCGAACTCCACCGCTGGCAATCGCTGTCCGTGCCCCGCTGCTTCGACGCGGCCGAAAGGTATGTGACGGTGCCGAACGCGGACGTCTTCGTTATTTGCGACATGGGCGCCGTGGTACGCATAATTTCGCCCGGTCTGTGTCAGGTGTTATTTCTACGTCGGAAAGATCACTTGGCTGAGGCGTTGGTGGGCTTGTCAAGTTTGAGCAGCGGCCATTTTGAACGGCGGAGGGGGGAGCGGGGTGGGGGAGGTCGCTCTAAAAATGCGAGTTTATCTTACCCTCGTCGACGGCTTGCCCATTTTTAGGTAGATTGTTTCCTCATTGAGATAATAATGCAAATTACAGCCTGCTTACCCTGGTAGGTGTTGGACTGTGGTAAAACGCTGGATAGATTTTCTTCCTTATCCAGCGCTTCCGTTCTTTCATAGCGACGACTCGCAGGGATGGGCAAAATACATGCAAATATGTATCGAAATACAAATACAAAATACTTCGTCAAAATGTATTTAATAACAAATCTAATTACATTTCCAAAAAAGCATTTGAGTACAAGATACAAATACAACCAAATGTATTTGGTCTACTCCAAATACTTTTCCGAAAACATTCCTCGAAATTTGCGTCAGCGACTTCAGGGCACCTGCAACGGGTTCCTGGGTATCTCATTTTAATTTTGAATCGCACACTCGGGAGTTAGTGTGCGAGGCTCTAGTAACGTAATCGAAATATAATCACAAAAAATTTAATCAGCTTGGACGTAATAGGTGAAAAAAGTACAGAGCTTCAAGCAGCTTTTTTTGTCGATTACATTTTGGTAAAGACCAACAAAGAACCGAGACGACCAAGACGCGCTGCACTAGCTAGAGAATTTTTTATTGTTGCAACTCGCACCAGTTACGAAAATCTGGACGGCCCGCGCATTTAGAATGTTCCAGACAAAAATATTAATGGAAATCAGGCTGGAAAGCATCACAACTTGTCACAGGCACTTATTTAAACAGTCTGCCTGTGAACGTCGATTTCGTCACTATTGTTGCCCTGGACTAGCACCGTAATCACAAAGTCACTAAACGCTCGTGCTTGATTGAGAGACACTGCATTCGGTGCAGAACGTAGTTTTGAGGGATGTATTTTCGCCCACAAAATTGTATTACAAGTGTATTTGAAATACCCACGTTTTAGTATTTAAATACACACGTCAAATACATCACCCAATTTGTAATTAAATACAAATACAAAATACACAAAGTATTTTAAATACGTATTTCAAATACTTGTATTTGAAATACTGCCCATCCCTGGCGACGAGTATGTCACCAACAAAAATGCTTGCTTGTCACGACTACTACTAGTGCCACGCCTTAAAACAATGATAAAATGTCATAAAACAAACATTGTAGAATAATAATTAAAAAAAAAAGAAACACGTGAAATATAGGTAATGTAGCATTACCCGAACACACGTGAAGCGAGCTGACGAGCCCAAGAACCTGCGCCGTCGTCTGCTCTCACCTACTCGCTACGTCACAAACGATGATGATCAATGGATGGATGGATGAATCCGACTGAGCCCTTTGGATCGGGCGGTAGCTTACGCCACCTAGCCATTTTTGTTTTACCATTTAAGCTTAGAATATTTAAATGTGAAATTTATATTCACTCCGCACTGCAAAGAAAGTGAGGCTATAAAAACCCCCTTGCCATCAGTTAATAAGAAAATACCTAGTTTTCTTGATGATGATAGCTAGGAAAGCGCCCCCTGTAGTTCGCGCAGGCAGCCAATAAGAGAATGAAAGGGCACCATGAAAGACTGTGTTAAAACGTACCCAGGATACTGGGTTAAATCCCCACCCCTGCCCGTTTCGATCTGGATCGATGAGCATCGAACCGGCGTGTGGTCGGGGATCAAAACTGCGTGGTGCACGTTAAAGACCCCAGCCTAGCGGTTGTACCGCACTGGCTAAATTGCTCATCTACAGGTGAAAAACAAATGGTTCACTAAGGCAAGGCAGACTAACTTCCGGCTGTATAAACATACAGTCACACACACACCAATTTTTTGTAAAAAAGTTCTTGTAGTTTACTTTGAAAGTACATTGCATTTTTAGTTATTTAATCTAAATACATTGCGCCCGGTGTACATACTACTTTGCTTCAAGTCAGACATGTACAAGTTACTCAAAAAAGGTAGTTAAGTTAAGTTACTGAGTATCGACGCCAAAAGTAATTGGAGTAGAGTAGAAATTACGCATTTGTAATAGTAATTGAGTAAACTACTAACTACTGTAAAAAGTAGCGAGTTACTTTCGAAGTTACTTTCGAAGTTACTTTTTTATATTTTTGTGGTAACAAAATGAACAGCAGTTTTGATCAACGAAAAACCCTGCGAGCCTAAAATAAATGCAGTCTATTTATGGCTTGCGTTTTCGCCAAAATAGTTTATTCGCTCGCAGAAGCTATTGACTTGAAAGTTATTGATAGGAAAGTCTTTCCCGTTTCCTTCTAAAGACGTCCCCAGCCAAGCTAAATAGACGTTCCACCGACGGGCTGGATTGAACGGCAGCGTTGAATTTGAGAAACAGTCTGTGCAGGGTCGGGTAAGCGAATGTCGGCATCTTAGGTATCCATGACGAAACGTGTGAGGTTTGCCTCGGGAAGGAGGGTCTTTTATAACAAACTTTCCTCCTTTTTTTTTATTTTCTTCGTCAAGTTGAGATTGTTATGAATGGCCCCTCTTTATTCCGACGTCGCTCTGAGAGTACGCTGAGCGGGTGCACCAGACCGTCCAGGGTTCAAGTCTCGCGCCACAACGATGAGATCATCCGGACGACTGCGGGTCCCGTTGTAGTGCTAGTGCTACGCTACTAAAAAAAAAAAAATTGTTTTGGTTTAACAAAATATGAACCGAAGTATACTTCGCCGCTGATGCCGGGTCCAACAAAAGTATCTCCCAAGGGTAGCTCGCAATCCTCGCCGGCGACTACAATATTCTGACGCGCCTGACAAGTAAATCGTTTTTAACAAAAAGGAGGTCTCCCAGGCATGGATGGTCGGAAGGACGCGAAGGATTACGTGAACAAGCATCGTCGCTCGTATACAGTTGCAGCTGGAAGCGGGAACGTGATCCCATGAACGGATTATCCGTGCCAGGGTTTGTGCGCGGGAGAGTCCGGCTTTGCAAAGGCGTATGCGCTGACGACAAGGCGACCATGGGAGCACGCGCCCGGCTGCGACGTCATTCCAGTCGGAACTCACTAAAGACAGACAGCACGAAAACAACTGCAACTCTCAGAGTGTCCCCGTCTTTCACGGTTGCAGCTGGAAACGCGGCGCCTGCGGGCATTACCAGATTAGGTCAATACCCGACCAAGGCTTGTTAAGCATCTCTTCCTGCGTTCGTGCGTGCCGGTGTTATGTTTTGGCTGCTCGTCGCCACCTTGGCCCAAGGACGCATTTCCGAACAAGGGGGCCCCTTGTTCGGGAATGCCATTTCATCTGCCGGCGTCTTATTCACTTCTGCGCTCAAACTTTCGTGATGGGCAAAATTAGCACTATATAATTTTGAAAGTAGTTAGTAATTTGAGTAGAAGTTACCTGAAAAAAGTAGTTAAATTGAACTACTAATTACTTAAATCAAGTTGTAATTGAAAGTTACCAAGTTACTCGAAAAAGTAGTTAAACTACAGTAGTTTGAGTAGAGTAGTTGAACTACGTCCAAGTCTGCTTCAAGTTAATGACCTCTAATTTACTTTGTACTTCAGTACAACCAGTATAGTTTCCGCCGTCGCTCGTAGATGGCGCCAACCTTTGCAGCTATAATAGAAGAATGGATAGTTGGGCGCGTTGGTGGGAATTCATCGTAGGGAACAGCGCGAAAAACAGACGTCGACGAAGAAGAAGCACACAGTGTATCGAGTACAGCTCCGCTGGTCTTCCTTCTTCACGAGAGTGGAAAGGCTGAACGATTTTTAGATGTACTTTACCCACCACTGCATTTCACACATCAAGCTTCTTACAAACCGTAGGAAAAAATCGAACTGTCATAACCAGATCATTGGCTTGGATGAGATGGATTGGATATCTTCGGCTTATCCTTTGTAGCGATTGACCTATGGAGGTAGGAAGGAGAGGATGCGACATACCGGGTTAAGCCAGCCAAACGACAAAATCCAGATGAGAAACCGAAAGTAGAAGTCGCGGTCACCGTGGGAACGACCCCGAGGGTGACTAAAACAGCCGTTGGCGCCAAATCGGCTCTCCTTTCCGTCCAATAGTGTCGTTTCTTTTTTTTTTTTTTAAGTTTTGGTCACCGTTAGAGGTGACTTTTCCAAATGAGTAGTCACGCCCGAATTCACCTCTGGTGGCGTTATGTTGCCTCCAGAAGCTTGCATGGATTGACCACAGAACTTTGGATTTTGGATCTAGCCAGTTGGCTCTTCTGTCAGTTCCACGTCCGCTGTTTAAAGACATTTCGTCATGTGTCGTCACGTTTTTAGTGTTGCTAGTAGATGTTTTCAGTTCAAATAACAGAATGTGAAAAAAAAAAAATCAATAACTTTAACCATGTCTATTGCTTTGTTGAACCATCTTTAGGCAAATCAGGGACCATCACAGTTTTGCCTGTGAAGAAATCATATCTTATGATTTATTTGATCAAGTGGCAGAACGAGCGGAAGCAAAATTTGAAAAGATATTTAAAGGGACACGTTTTTTTATACGCAGTCCTCCTGTTGAAGCAAAGATGTCGCCGCTGACCTACGAACCAGCCGAAACAGTTTCGACGAATCCCCTGGTTGCCTACACCCAGCTGTTCCACAACGGGCAGCCAGATCGCAACGAGACTGCGACCATTAACAAACAATTTAAACATCACAATACCTACACGTACGCGGTGGAAAGGGGAATAGACACCGGACTCTCGGGAACTTGGAGCGCCGGGATACCAGACATGGTCGGGGCATCATCCGAAATTTCGGTCAAATTTTCGACGTCATGGGGAAGCACAAAGACTGAAACCACGGAAACTACGTACTCTCTAAACCAGGTAGTCACCATACTGCCGGAGTCGACTGTGCAAGTTCTCTTGGTCATAAACGAAGATATAGTGGTGAGTCTCTGGAACGCCCATCTTTCTTAATCCGGGAACAAGTGGCATCACGCTTGGGGTTCAATCTTCCCCATACTTTATTTGCCAAAAGCGAAACCCAAGGGAATGCCGTCTTTGAATCTTTAGATTACTTTAGACAATCGCCATAATTTTTTTTTTCGGGTGGACAGTCTATTAGACACAATGTTTATAAATAAGGCAGGAACTAACTCTGAAAAAAAAAATGCTGTGGATAGTCAATGTACAAGAACATTTTAATATATTTGCGGTGACCTTTGTCTCCGAAGTCGAGTAATGCATGAAATGCTGCATTTAAGGGGTGATAGTTAGAATTTATTCAGCAGATATTAAGCTTTCGTTTCGGGGAGTGCCGAGTAACCCTTATTTTATGCAGTATAAAATTTTGCGGAGAAATTGACGTTACATGAGCTATGCATCAAGTCAGTTTGACCCGCTAAATTTAGCGAGCAAACTGACGGTACATAGTCACGTGATATGTGATCGCCGGTTAAATATAGCGGGTAAACCAAATTTGCGTATAGGTCACGTGACGTCAATTTGAGCGCTAAGCATAATGAGAAAACTTACCTGATGCACACATAGGTCATGACATTAATTTCCCAGCCAAATCTATCGGAGGTTGTCAATTTTTCGCAAATCAGTTTTCTCCACAAACTTTGCGGGATAAGTGGTTGACGTCAATTTTCCCGCAAATCTAGAAGTGGAAAACTGAATTGCTGGTAAGGTCAGGCGACGTCAATTTCTTTGGAAAATTTAGCGTGGAGCCTGAATTGATGTCAGGTTACGTGACGTCAATTTCCCCGTTAAATAGCGTAAATTGAACGGGCACGTGCGGACGGAATGACAAGATTTTAGGATTTTAGGGGAGGGTTCCGTTAAAAAAGTATTTCACGCTTTAAACGTTAGAGAGTTTTCGTAGACCGCGTTTTCCCCTCCGCTAAACCTCCCCCCCCCCCCCCCCCCCGCAACGAAGAAGCCGCTGCTGTGCCTGTGCGCCGATAGCCTTGACTGTAGACTTCCGGGTATCGTATAGTGGGTTGCGGAGAGCCATTGCGGGACGGCGAAAACCATCTACAAGAACTCCCTAATGTCATGAACTTGGATAGCGCAGAATGTGTCGTGTGTGCTTTACATGAACCCCCCATCGAATAATCGAGGCCTGGGAACATCCTGCTCTTTCTCCGTACAACGCCATCGCAGTTGGATGGCGTCAGCTGAACTCGAACCCGATGCCGAACGTCCTTCGACGCGTTCATTGGACACGAGGAAGAGCCCAACGATGACGTGGCGCTCGTGCCCAATCCGCGTCTTCGCTCGATCTCGCTGTGATGACGTCAGAATTCTAGAGGCGTGGATTATTCTATGGGGGGTGGTGATTACGCGCGCGCGTTGTGATATGTTGTGTTTGATTAGGGGGAAGCTTTGGGTAGTTTGGAATGCGTTGCAATTTGCGAAATTGTCGCCCAGTTGAGCGTTTGGCTGCATCTGTTTTCGAACAGCACACTTTTTCTACCGATTGCAGGACGTTCCATGGAGCGCTACCATGTCCCTTAAGGGATATTTCGCAGGGTACTTTGAGAAACACGGTGTTGGAAAATACTGGGAGCACTTCGGTATCGGAGAGCTACGACATCCCGATGTGGAGACACGAGCCCATGACGAAATTTTGTTTCGCGCTCGAGGTACTTTTCACGGTCTGACATCCAAAACCAGTCGTACGGTTACCCGAGAAAAACACCATCACCGTTGAATAAAGCCCATAAGTGACGTTCCTTCATTCAATGTTCAACTTTATGGTATACATACATGTACTCGATCACATATTACACCGCCTACAAAACGCGGATCATCGGAGAAACAATGGATTGTTTAGGAGTCCCAGCCGAATAAATGACCAAGAACAAATACATAGTGAGTATAGCCACTGTCAATATAAGAAACCCAGGGCGTTAAAAAACACGAAAAGGAGACCCCCTTAACTACACCTGTAACACCACTGTTTTTTTTTTCTTTTCTGTAGAACATCACGATAGGCAGCTTACATTAATGGTAACAAATGAGTTGTTCTGGGAATGTGCGACTAGAAGGTAAACGAGCAGAATCGTACGCCAAGCTACTCAAACCTGGAAAAGCAGTAAAAAAAAAAAAGAAAGAAAGAAAAAGATATTGCCTGGCACTGTTTTGACGCACATAGTCCAATAACTAGCAATGAGAATTGGTTCTGCCGGTTCCGTTAAAACAAAAACAAAAAAGAAATTAAAGACGACTGGAATTCTTTGTAATGCCGAATTAGAGCGCAGCCCTTGAGGAGGAGGAGAGAAGGGTACGTAGGGAAGGGTATGCCACTCAACCCCCTACCCTCGTTAACGTAGCAGCTTGGGCGAGTTGGTTGCACATGATTACACACACCACAGCGCACTATAGCAAACAGCACTCACACCTTACACACGAAAAATAAAGCAATTTAAAAAAAATAAAGTTTGTTTGAATTTTGTTTTATTTTTCGTGTGTAAGGTGTGAGTGTTGTTTGCTATAGTGCACTGTGGTGTGTGTAACCCCATACCCTCCTCGCCTCCTGCTCCCCTCCGATATAGCGGGAAGTTTTCACTAAATTTCCTGCTAAATTAAGCGGGGAATTTTTTTCCGGGAAATTTAGCGGGGAACGTTTTCTGCTAAATTATGCGGAAAAGTTTTTTTCCGCTAGGTTTAGCAGGGAAACTTTTCCGCTAGATTTTGCGGGGAAACTTTTCCGCTAGATTTTGCGGTGAACTTTCCGGCTAAATTTAGCAGGGAAATTTCCCGCTAAATAGAGTGGGAAAATTTTTCCGCTTAACATAGCTGAAAAATGTTTTGGCAAACTTAGCGGGGAAATTTTCCCGTTAAATTTTGCGGGAAAATGTTTCCGCTAAATTTAGCAGGGAACCTTTTCTGCTAAATTTAGCTGAAAAAATTTCAGGCGGGGAAGTTTTCCTGCTAAATTTAGTGGAGGAAGTGCGAACATGTTCCCCCTAAATTAGGCGGGGAAATATTCTCATAATGCAACGCGCGGTTACGCCCGCTTGCATTGTTCCCATAATGCAACGCGCGCGGTTACGCCGACGGCGACGGCGACGCCGCTCAAGCTTGAAACGGGCACCTAAGAGCTGCGCTCTAAAATTACAGGAAGATAATTGGTGAATTCTTCGGGAATGTGTTAGCATGTCCCTTGGGAAACGCCGCACACCTCCCCATTCGGGAAACGCTAACACTGACCCATTGACTTTTCTCTTTTGCTCCCCCTATGTCTCCTCTATTTATTTTCTGCCTCTTTTTGGCCTCGTTACGGGGTCAGTGTTAGCGTTTCTCTAAAGGGTACGTGTGTGGCTTTTCCCGACGGTCATGCACACGCATTCCTCAAGAATTCACCAATGAACCGGTAATGTTAGAGCGCAGCTCTTAGGCGCACGTTTCCAGGTTGAGCGGCGTCGCCGTCGGCGTAACCGCGCGTTGCATTATATAATGTTTCCCATAATGACGTCATACGTGACGTCACGTGTGACGTCACGAAGGTAGAGTTTTCCCGCGAAATTTAGCGGGGAATTGTTTCCGCTTAATTTAGCAAGAAAAGTTTCCCGCGAAATTTAGCGGAAATTTAGCAACCAATTTTTGCCCTGGTGACATTACACGTGACGTCACATCTGACGTCATGTGAATGAATGTGACGTCTCATGAAATTTAGCGGAAAGCCTTTCCGCTAAATCTAGCAGAAAAATTTCCCCACTAGATTTAGCAGGACAATTGACGACACATTACCTCAACACCAAATCAGTTTCCCCGCAAAATTTAGCGAAGACATTTTCTCTAAATGTTCTTTTAAATTTAGCGGGAATATGGTTGCGAATTTCTCGATACATTTAGCGGGAATATTTCCCCAATAAATTTAGCGGAAAAATGTTCGCTAAATATAGCGGGAAATTTAAGGGATATTTCCCACTAAATGCAAGGGGAGGAGGAGAACAGGAGGGCAGGGTACGAAGGGGGGGAGGAGAGGAATTTGCTGCCCTTTGTACCCTTCTCTCCTCCTCCTCGAGAGCTGCGCTCTAATTCAGCATTACAGAGAATTGTAAACGTCTTTTATTTTTTTTTTTCACCCCTTTTCTGTACTCTGCCTGTCAGCGCACGTGAAGCCCTTGGATGCTGTTATCCATATCACTCGTGGTAAGAACCACATCCATAGTACACGTGGAAGGAACCACATTCATATCACTCATGGAGAGAACCGCATTTACCGTTTTAACTAGACGCACAGATCACAGCCCACGCACCGCTATTACGGAAACCAAGAGCGAAGAACAACCGGCGACGGCAGAGCGCGACTGAGCACGCCGGCATTCCACCGCCCCGCGGCGCCTCCTCCTCTCCAGCTCCGCTCCAGCTCTGCGACGCTCCTTTGACGGAAACGAAAACACTCGTTTTGACGAAAACCCGCCGGTGTCTGTCAGCTTGTCAGCGCCGGGTAGAGAGACAGAACGAGAAGGTGACACGTGCTGACGTCAGCTCTTCAGACCAATCGGAGCGTCGCCTTTGGCGAAAACGAAACCCTTGTTTTGACAAATACCCGACGGTGTCTGTTAGTTTGTCATTGCCGGGGAGAGAGGGAGAGGGTTGACATATGCTGACATCAACGCTTCGGACAAATGGGAGTGTCGCACGCGTCACCCTCTCTCTCTTTCTCCGTCTCTTCCCGGCGCTGACAAACTGACAGACACCGCTGGGTTATTGTGAAAACCTGGGTTCTAATGATAGCGGAATAAAACAAAAATGACGCGAGCGTGGTGTGTTACGGCGTATATTGCTGCTTGCGTGACCGAGAACGAGCCCTTCTCCGTACATCTGGAAGATTCGTGTTCTGTGTTCAGTCTTTCACCGAGTGTAAAAGATAAATAGGCCAGAATGGACCTTGGCTAGTCAGTCTCTCCCTAGCTCACTCCCGAAGTTTCTAGGTCGAATGTTGAAGAGACCGACTGTAGTAAATAGGAAGTCGAGCGCGGTCTTGCCGACTCATTCGCGCACTCCCGACGATGATGCACTCTTTCGCTAACGCTGGACTCTGCGTTTCCACCGACTCCGACGCCCGCAGCGCTCTGTACTTATCTTTATTTACCCCTTTTAGTCGTTCGTTAATTTGGTGTACAAGTATGCTCCATTAAACGCTTATTTTAGTTCATTATTCATTGTCTCTTCGCCTGCATTCGTTACAATATATCAACTTATTAAAGATTAGCTAGCGCAGCGTGGGGGTAAAGAGCGTGTACCAACAGCTTCCTACCCACTATAAACCGACCTTTCGACGCACCAACTACAAGACCTGTATAAAAGCCTCAGTGCACACGCACCAAGACATAAACAACCACAATATGGTTCGTGGTTCCGTCCACCGTTTTGACGGTTCCGTTTGTACAAACAGCACCGAAAGTATGGTTTCTGGAGCTCGTCTTCGACTGGTATGTCTATTGCGTCCACAAAAGTGGTCCATCGATTTTCTCCGAATGACGTCACAAAATTGACCGACGCGATCCTGGCGGTTGCAGAGCAGCGGGGTAGATGTGGCGAATGCCTGCTCTATGGTGCGTGGAAGAATGACAAACCCTTCTACAATGAAACCAGAACGGAAAGGGGAGTCCACGGACACACAACAGCACTGTGGTGTCTGATTCTCGTCTTTGTGGCCTTGTCTGTTGAGCGCTAAAATGTATTCCAACAACATAGAAACTTTGTTGAACATTTAATATACAATGTCCAGGAGGGCACATTGTAACTCATTCGTGGATGTTGTAAAAACGGATTAGGCCCTGACTAGGATCTTTCGACTGTAGCTGGCAAATAGAGGGAGAAGCGCTTGACCAAGGCAGAAGAGGACAAATGAGGGCAAGGGTTCTTTGAGGTGATTTATACCTCAAAGGTATCAATCACCTCAAAGGTATTTAAAGGCATAAAAGAAACAGAAATGAAGAAGAAACAAGTGCCCGCCCGTGTTGTTTGTCCCTGTCATTTTGCATTTTTAATGCCCTTGAAATGTGAAGGCATTCTCCTTGTGCCTGAATAATCTGAAGTTTGTAATGCGGTCTTGAATAATGAATCCCTCCCAATAAAATATACCATATTGTAACTCACGTCCTATGTTGTTTTTTTTTTTAAATTTCATTCACGGTTTTGTATGTCTGTGAATTTTTAGAATATAGGCTCACCAAGCTTGAAACCGCCTAGATTTGTAAAATAATACCCCCCCCCCCCCTCTAAAAAAAACATTTTAATCACATAAAAAAGAAAACTCGTTTGCGGCTTACTATAGTTGTTATCCTTACTGTTTGACTAGAATGACTATATTGGGACTAAATAAAATAAAATAAATTTCGATAAAAAACACCCTTAAATTTGAGAGGTGTTTTATGCGAAGTTAAAAAGAAACATATTTAAAAGAAAACTATAAAAAAATGTAACGAAAATTATTCAAATGTGAAAGCCTCCAAACGAGAGGGGCAAAAACTCGAGGGGTGTTGAAAACTGCTTGAGACTAGACCAATTAGAACGCTAAGGAGGTTTGTCAAGCTGTTGAAACAAGAAAGATTTATGCCAGAAGTGTACAAGCGGGAATGGGTTGAAACCAAAAAGATTAAAACGCGAAGGTTTTTTTTTTTTATTTTTTTTCGCAAATATGTTTAAGCGAGTAAGGTTAAAATGGAAAAAAAGGGTTCTAGCGAAATAGCCCCA